ATGCCATGCTTATGATGTTGTTGTTATGTGCCGTGGAGTCGGTTCGGACCCATAGCAACCCTGTACAGGGTTTCCGAGGCTGTAAATCTTTACAGGAGCAGAAAGCCTCATCTTTCTCCCGTGGAACAGCTGGTAGTTTTGAACTGTCGACCTTGAGGTTAGTCGCCCAATTCGTAACAACTACACTACCAGAGCTAGGACAGTTGAAATCCAAAGTGCTTAAAATTCTAAGAAAGTACTTGCAGCTGAAGCACTAAATCTTAACTCATCATGGAATCTGCCCTCTCTGGAGTCTGTCCTGAGGATACTGAAAAAGCACACAAATCAGGTAAGGACTTGTGGTAGTGGGTGATGCACAGCTAAGTTTTGAGTTGCACATGGTAGAAATTCCTCATTTGATGCTAGAATGATTTCTGGTTCCCTTTTAGACTTTCCCCCCTTCTGCTTAGAGCAGTCTACCAGGGAGCCACAAATCTTAGTACATGAACTATTCCATTGTATTTTACTACCCAAACCCACCAAACCAATAGCCATCAAGTTGATTCTAACGCTTAGCGACTCTATAAGACAGACTAGAACTCTCCCATCAGTTTCAGAGGCTGTGTATATTTATAAGAATAGACAGCCTCATCTTGCTCCTGCAGAGCAGCTGGTAGGTTCGAACCACTAACCTTTCATTAACAGCCCAATGTGAGGTGAGATACCCTTACTGCTGTAGCTTAAGGTTTTCTAGCCACTCCTTTCCTACTGTTCCCTGATTTGGGACTTAAGCTGCTGGCTCACCTGAAGAGAGGCAGGCAGAGGTTTTCCATTTTTCTTTGCAATGTGTTTAATGATCTTCAGGGCCTTAGCATTTTCATTCTGGGCGATTAGCCACCTGGGAGATTCAGGGAGGCACCTACAGGAGACAGATCATCAATGTTATCGGTGGAGGGGAATCATATTGACATACAGAGGTCACGGCCAGGTTTCTATGGGAGATCTCACATACTGAAGGTTAGTGGAAGCTACAACAGAAGGAGGATGTGCAGGGAATGTGTGGTTCTTTCTCTTTTCAAATGCTGACATAGGATTTGCCCTGTCCAGTGTCTCCACAGAGATTTCAGTGGAACCACAGGAGCAAGCTACCAAACAAGGTACCACTGAGTATCTCTTTTGTGTCAAGGGGGGTAGACAGGCTTTGTGAAAGGGTAAGGACTGACAGAGGAGCAGGAAAATAGACTATTCATTATGCAGGGTGGGAGCCAGTGGAATAATTTTATATGGAAAGGGAATTTCCCAAAGGATGAGATGAAAGTTGACGATCAGATGAAGTGAGAGTTGGAGATCAGATGAAATGTACAACAGAAAGAAAGATTGCCTGACTTGACCGATTGGGTTGTTAGATTTAATGCCTTTGAGTCGGTTCTGACTCTTAGCAACCCTATGCACAACAGAAGGAAACACTGTCTGATCCTGCACCATTCTCACGATTGTTGTTGTGTTTGAGCCCACTGTTGCTGCCACTGTGTCAGTTCATGTCCTTGGGAGCCTTCCTCTTTTTCTCTGACCCTCCGCTTTTCCAAGCATGGTGTCCTTCTCCAGAGACTGGTCCCTCCTGACAACACATAGAGATGAAGTCTCAACATTCTCACTTCTAAGGAGCACTTAGGCTGTACTTCTTCCATGTCAGAAGTCTGAGAGACGACGTCTGGCCATCCTGACTTCTAAGGAGCACTTAGGCTGTACTTCTTCCAACACACATTTGTTTATTTTTCTGGCAGTTCATAGTTCTTTCAATATTCTTTGCCATCTCCATAATTCAAATGCATGATTCTTCTATGGTCCTCCTTATTCATTGATAAACTTTCACAATCATATAAGGCAGTTGAAAATATACCTTAGCCCTTAAAATAACATCTTTGCTCTTTAATACTTTAAAGAGGTTTTTTTGCAGCAGATTTGCCTAATGCAATAATACATGGTTTGATTTGACTGCTGCTTCCAGGAGCACTGATTATGGAAGTAAGCTGAACTCTTCAAAATTTCAATCTTTTCTCCATTTATCATCATGTTATTTATTAGTCAAATTGTGAGGATTTAATTTTTTTTTACATTGAGGTGCAATCCATATTGAAGGCTGTGGTCTTTGATCTTCATCAGTAAGTATATCAAATCCTCTTCACTTTTAGCAAGCAAAGAGTGCCATCTGCATATCACAGGTTGTTAATGAGTCTTTCTCCAATCCTGATGCCGTGTTCTTCTTCATGTTATTTATATTCTGAAATTACTTGCTCAGCATACAGATTGACTAAGTATGGTGAAAGGATACAACCCTGGTGCACACCTTTCCTGATTGTAAACCTCCTCTTCAGTATCCTCTTGTTCTGTTTGGATTATGGCCTCTTGAACATAGCAAGTATTCTGGAATAGCCATTCTTCACAATGTTATCCATAGTTTGCTCTAATCCACACAGCTGAATGCATTTGCATAGTCAATAAAGTTCAAGTAAACTTCTTTCTGATATTCTCTACTTTCAGCCCAGATCCATCTGATGTCAGCAATGATGTCTCTCCTCTACATCCTCTTCTGAATTCAGATTGAATTCCTGGCAGTTCCCTGTAAATATACTGCTGCAACTTAAACATCATATTTAGCAAAATTTCAATTGAATGTGATACTGATGATATTGCTTGATGATTTCTACATTTGGTAGGATCACCCACCTCTTGTTGGAATGGACACAAATATGGATCTCTTCCAATTTTCATTCCATTTCAGCTCATGAACGCCTAGCATATTTATCTTCTTGTGTTCCATTTCATTTTTGACAACTTTCAATTTTCCTAGATTTGCACTTTTTCCATTCCATGTTCTGACTATTAATGGATGCTTGCTGATGTTTCTTCTCACTTTTGGTTGTGTCGGATCAGCAAATGAAGGTCCTGAACACTTTACTCCATTTCTGTCATTACAGTCAACTGTGCTTTGAGACAACTCTTCCCCATCTGTATTTTGAGTGCTGTAAATCCGAGAAGCTCATCTTCAAGCAATGTTCACTTGTTATTCGTAATGTTTTCATCTTCTGACACTGTATCAGACAAGGGTCTGCTGATATTCATAAAATTTCCAGTGGCTAACCACTCAGAGGAATCCTGGTGTGGCATTGTGGGATAATGCACTGGACCACAAGCTCAGTTTGAAGTTTAGGGTTTGTGGTTCAGAATCACCAACTGCTTCTCAGAAACCCTATATAGGATCACTATGAGTCTGAACCAACTCGAAGGCACTTAACTCCAACAACTATTGCAAAAGTGTTTTGCCTTTCCTTCTTCTTAGTCTGTTTTAATCTGAAGCTCTGCTGAAAGTTGTTCACTATGGATGGCCCTGCTGGTGTTTAAAATACTGTTAAAATACCTTCTAATATCAGAGCAACTAAAACCCACCACAGTAAGACAAGCTGACAGACAAGTGGTGGGACTGAACCAGTAGGACTATGCAAATAAGATGGTTTACCAGGGAGATTGGACAGCTTTTCTAATGCAAACAAGGTACAAGAAATCTTTGATGGAGAATATGCAAATAAGGTACATGGAACACTTCTAGGAGATTGGTTAGTCTGTGATTCTGCTTGGGAAAGGGGTAGGACACCTTGAAATTGATAAGGATCCTACTATATGTTGTTGTTGTTGTTATGTGCCATGGAGTCGGTTCCAACTCATAGCGACTCTGTACAGGGTTTCCGAGGCTGTAAATCTTTACGGGAGCAGAAAGCCTCATCTTTCTCCCACAGAACAGCTGGTAGTTTCAAACTGCTGACCTTGCGGTTCACAGCCTGATTCGTAACCACTACACTACCAGAGCTCCTTGAGTTGGTTCTGACTCATAGTGATCCTTTATAAGGTCTCTAAGACTGCAAGTCTCTGCAGAAGCAGAAAACCCCATTTTTCTCCTGTGGATCAGCTGGTGGGTTCAAACCACCAACTTGAGGTCCTCAGTCCAGTGCTTATCCTCTAGAGCTACCACATTCCTACTATACGTTGTTACCACATGCCATTGAGTCAGTTTCAACTTATAGTGAGAGTTTCCAAGGCTTTAAATCTTTGAGGGAGCAGAAAGCCTCATTTTTTCTTCCAGGGAGCGGCTGATAGGCTCAAACCACAGATCGTGAGGTTCACAGACCAATGCTTATGTCTGGATCCATCACTGTATAAGGGGGCTTCAAAATGTTTGTGTGAAAATTGAATTTAAAAAAGATAATGGAATTTTTCTACAATTTTTTGAAGTCTTCTTGTATTGTCTATCTCTTCAAGTCTAAATCGTATCATAACTGCTAGAAGCTAGTTTAAATACAAGATAAAGAAAGTGGACACGAAATATCCTAGACATAAAACATTTAAGCCCAAAGTGAAAACACATTTAATTTCCAGATGGGGAAGGAGGTTGAATGAAGCAAAGCTTAGAACTTGGAAGGATGGCCTACACAAAGGAAGATGGCCCCTGTTTGCACAATGAAGCACTTCAGTATTTCTCTTTTTGGATCAAACAAACTTACCAGTAATAGAGCAAGAAGCAGAAGTTAGGCAGCGTCACTGTGAACTGCAGCCATCTCCAGTATGGAAGTGCGTACGCCACACCTGCAAGCACCAGGAGCCCTACCGTGAAGGCCACTTGGTAAAGAATTCCCACTGTTCTCCGGTAACTCAGCCCCACAAATTCTGTAACTGCAGAGGAAATGCAATGGGTCAAAGCATGTCAGTAAAGCAGGCAGTTGACTGTTCAAGTATGAGGAAGCTAGAAGGCCAACCTCAAGGCAGGAGCCCAAATTTTAGAATTTTTCATGTACTTCTCTGGGAATTAAAACATTTTCATTGAGCCCTATCTTATTGTTATTGTAGTTACTGCTATTTTAGGAATTAATATAAAAGTTTACATCCCACGGTGTTGCTGTTAGATACTGCTGAGTCAGTTTTTAATAGGGACCCGATAAGAATGCAACACTGCCTGGTCCTGCTCCTTCCTCACAATTGTTGTGTTTGAGAACATTGTTGCAGCCACTGTGTCAATCATTCTCCTTGAGGATTTCCCTCTTTTTTGCTGACCCTCTACTTTACCAAGCATGATGTCCTCTTCTCTCCTGATACATAACATTTCCAAAGTGTATGAGATGAAGTCTTGGCATCCTCACTTACAGGGAATATTCTGACTGTACTTCTTCCATGGAAGATTTGTTTGTTCTTCTGGCAGTCTGTGGTATAGTTAATAGCCTTGCCAACTTAATCATTTAAAGATGAGCAAAAACATTTGAATTATAGAATAATTGAAAGGACAAATTTGGTTGCATTTCAGATACCCACATAAAATTTTGATCTTCAGTAATAAGTTAGTAGTAATTCAAGTCCTGAATAAATGAATCAAAAGCTGAAAACAGATTGCAGATGATTTCTATATAAATGAACTCTTGAATATAACTTGTTCTCATACATCTGTTAAACATTTTTCTTGCAATTTTGTTAATTCTCTGAAATGCTTTGGAAATCTAAAAACCCAGCCATGAGCTTGAGCCAGCTAGATGTGGCTTGCAAGAAATGATTTTTAAGCTTTCAAGAATTTTACAAGCTAGTTGTTAAATTCATTGTTACCTTGAAAGCAGCCATAATGGATATATTTCACCATAGTAGTTAGTTGTGATTGTTGTTGTTCAGTGCCAGAGAGTCGGTACCTACCCATAGAGACCTTATGCAAAACAGAATGAAACACAGCCTGGTCCTGCACCAATCTCACATTTATTGCTACGCTTGAATCCGTTGCTGTTGCCAGTGTACCAATCCATCAGGTTGGGATCTTCCCCTTTTCTGCTGACCCATTTTACCATTTAACCAAACATGAGGTCCTTCTCTAGGAACTGGTCTCTCCTGATAATATGTCCAAAGTATGAAAGATGAAGTCTAGCCATCCTGACTTCTAAGGAGCACTCTGGCTGTACTTCTTCCAACACAGATTTGTTTGTTCTCTTGGCAGTCCATGGTACTTTCAATATTCATCTCCAACACCATAACTCAAATGGATCAAGTCTTCTACATACTTCCTTATTATTGTCAAACTTTCACATGCATATGAAGTTATTGAAAATACCATGGATTGAATCAGGTGCACCTTAGTCCTCAAACTGATGTCTTTGTTCCTGAACACTTAAAAAAAAAAAAAAAAAAAAAAAAAAGTCTTGTGCAGTAGAGTTGCTTAATGCAATATGTCATTTGATTTCTTGACTTCTGCTTCCATTACTGTTGATGGTTCATTCGAGCAAAATGAAGTCTGGCAACTTCAATCTTTTTTTCCATTTATATGAATGTTGTTAATTGGTCAGATGATGAAGATTTTTCTTTACATTGAAGTGCAACCCATACTGAATGCTATATGAATCTTTCTGCAATCCTGATTCCATGTTCTTCTTCATATAGTTCAGCTTCTCTGATTATTTGCTCAGCATGCAGATTGAATAAGTATAGTGAAACAATGCAACCCGGGCACATACCTTTCCTAATTAAAAAATATTCAATGTTCCCTCATTCTGTTCAAACGACTTCTTGTTCTATGTACAGGTTCCTCATGAGCAAAATTAAGTGTTCCGGAATACTCATACTTCGCAATGTTGTCCATAGCTTGTCATCATCCACAGAATCGAAAGCCTTTGTGTAGTCAATAAAGCACAGGTAAACATCTTTCTGGTATTCTCTGCTTTCAGCCAAGATCCATCTGACGTCAGCAATGACATCCCTCATTTCACGTCCTCTTCTGAATCCAGCTGTAACCTCTGGAAGTTCTCTGTCAATGTATACTTGCAGCCACTCCTGTATTACTTTTAGTAAAACTTTAATCACATGGGATGTCAATGATATTGTCCAATGATTTTCACATTCTGTTGGGTTACCTCTCTTTGGAATGGGCACAAATATGTATTGCCTTGAGTCAGTTGGCCAGGTAGCTGTCTTCCAAATTTCATGGCATAGATGAGTTCATGCCTCCATTGCTGCATTCGTTTGGTGAAAGATTTCAACCTGTATTCCATCAATTCCCAGTGCCTTGTTCTTTGCTAATGCCTTCAATGCACTTTGGACTTCTTCCTTTAGTATCATTGGCTCTGGAGCATATGCTACCTCTTGAAATGGTTGAACATTGATTGACCATTTCTTTTTGGTACAATGACTCTCTCTATTTCTTCCATCTTCTTTTGATGTATTTACTGTATTGTTGATACTGCGCCATCTTGTTGGAGGTCTTTTTTGCTGGCTTTCTCTGTCTATATATATATATACACATACACACACTTATATACACATATGCATTCATATGTGTATATATGACTCTTTGTTTTCCTTTCATCTTCTTTTGATAACTTTGGTATCATTCAATATTTTGCCCAGAGAATCCTTTAACATTTCATGTCAGGTCTTGGATTTTTTCCCTCAGGTCTTTTAGCTTGAAAAATGCTGAGTGTGTTCTTTCCTTTTGGTTTTTAAACTCCAGGTCTTTGTACATTTCATTATACTGCTTGACTTTGTCTTCTTGAGCTGTCCTTTGTAATTTTTGTTCAGCTCTTTTACCTCCTCATTTCTTCCATTTGCTTTAGCATCTCATCTCTACACTGGAGAGCAAGTTTTGGAGTCTCTTTTGACATCCTTTTGATATTTTCCTTCTTTCTTGTATTCTCAATGACCGTTTGCTTTCTTCCTGCATGATGTTCTTGATGTCATCCCAGAAGTCTTCTGAATGTCTAATTCATCAAATCTGTTCTTGAACTGATTGTTAAATTCAGGTGGGAAATGTTCAAGGTCATATTTTGGCTCTTATGGACTTGTTTTAATTTTCTTGATCTTCAGCCTGAAATTGCATGTGAGCAATTGATGGTCTGTTCCACAGTCTGCCCCGGCCTTGTTTTGGCTGGTGATATAGAGTGTTTGCACCATCTCTTTCCACACATGTAATCGATATGATTTATGTATAGTCACCTGGTGAGGTCCATGTATATAGTCATCTTTTATGTTGTTTAAAATGTATTTGCATGCATGCTCAACCTTGGAACAACAGGGCTCTGTGATACAAGGATCGAGGCATAGTCTGAAGAGGGGAAATAATACTAAGATGCTTGACTGTGTTATGGATATTGCCTATTATTATAAAATAGACACTTGTCTATTATTATAAAATAGACACTTGAGTGGGATAGAAAGGAATGTTGGGAAATATTATTACAGAAAGCTTGTAAGCCCGTCTTCAGCCATATAACTGATTGGAATACGTAAAAATGGTTCTAAAACTTGCCCGGTGAAATAGACCTCATGCAGAACCTTTGCAGTGTATAGGACCTGAGGTGGAATTCTGAGCTCCATCCAGAACCTTCTGAGGTGGGACGTTCTCACTATAAAGGACAAGCAGACCAATCTGGAACAGCTAGAGCAACAGAAGATACATCTTCAAAGAAAGATCACCAGGAAAAACAAAACAAAACAAAACAAAAATGGCAGTATGATTGGCTACTACAATAATAAGCAGGTTGTTTGCTAGGAAGTCATCAAGGCAACCAATCAAGTCCCTTCAGGACAAACCCCCCTCCAAGACTGAAATTCAGTGAGAATACATGAGCAGGCATGTAAGCTTGCTGTAAACCATATTGGTCTGCTGGTGAGTGGAAGAGAGGGAAAGGCAGCAATAAAGAAATGAGCTAAGTTCAGCCATATTCCCTAGACTTCCATTGGCCTGGAGATGAGAGAGAGATGAGGAAGGGCTGGTTGGTCCAAAGTGTGGTGAGACCTGGGAACTCCTGGGCCCATGGTCAAGGACATAGCCATGAAGGGCTAGAGCTGAAAGTATTAAAAAAAATGTATTTGCAATGAAGAAGTCATTTGTCTTGCAAAATTCTATCATGCAAATCTCCACCATCTTTTCTATCACCAAGGCTGTATTTTCTAACTACCAATCCTTCCTCTTTGTTTCGAACCTTTGCATTCCAATCACCAGTGATTATCAATACATCTTGATTGCATGGTTGATCAATTTCAGACAGAAGAAGTTGGTAGAATTCTTCAATTTCATCATGACTGGCTTTAGTGGTTGGTGTATAAATTTGAATAATAGCTGTAGCAACTGGTTTTCCTTATATCCATATGGATAGTATCCTATCACAGATAGCACTGTGCTTCAAGACAGATCTCGAAATGTTCTTTTTGATGATGAATGTAGTACCACTCCTCTTCAGTATGTCATTCTTGCTTAGTAATCCATATGATTGTTAAGAATCAAAATTACCAATACCAGTCCATTTCAGTTCACTAATGCCTAGGATATCTATCTTCTTGCATTCCATTTCATTTTTGACAATTTGCAATACTTCATACATTCCATAATCTGATTATTAATGGATATTTACTGATATTTCTCCTCATTGTTGTTCCACATCAGCATATGAAGGTCATGAAAGTTTTGCTCTGTTTGGGTCATCACAGTCAACTCTACTTTGAAGAGACAGGTCTTCCACAGTCGAATTTTGAGTGCCTTCCAACCTGAGGAGCTCATCTTCTGGTACTATATCTGACAATATTCTGGTGCTCTTCATCATGTTTCAATTTTCAATAATCTGGTGCTGACAGTGTTCGACTGCTATTCATAAGGTTTTCAGTGACTAAATATTCAGAAGTAGTCAGTCTCTCTTTCTTCCTAGTCAATGTTTGGAAGATAAACTGAAAACTGTCCACCATGGGTTACCCTGCAGGTATTTAAAATACCAGTGGCATCACTTTCAGCATCACAGCAACATGCAGTATAACAAACTGACAGATGAGTGGTGGATAATAGTAGAGGCAGTTAAGTGCCATCTAGTTGGTTCCGACTCCTAGAGATCCTTATAAGGTTTCCAAGGAGCGGCTTGTGGGTTTGTAACTCAAACCTGTGGCAAGTACTACCGTGGTTATTCTACAACACCATACCAGGACTCCATTCACATCATAGGAATTGGCAAACACTATAAATGAGGGCTTTCTTTTTCGTTCCCCCCAAGAGCAATATACTAGCACATCACTGTACTTGGTATAAGAACAAGTTTGATTCCATCACATGACCACATAAAAGTGCTGTTTGGTGCTGAAATTAAATTCTAGAAACCATTAATTCCATCACTGACCACATACTTATTAGGTGCCTGCTAAGGCAGGATTTGTATCAAATACTATCTTCTTTTCATTTCCCAGAATTGGTCATATCTCTCATCACGGAATCTTCTTTGTTAATAGGCTACAGATTAGATTTCCCTTCTTGTATAACCCATCCAGGGCCCAGGAAATATAAATTCCAAGAGTCATAAGAACCTGGGTGACATGTTACTTACCCTGGTTTATATCTTCATTGTTTTATTAATAGAAGAATACAGAATGCATCGATTGGAAAGATTTTAGAAATTCTTTTGGTATGGAAATATGTATATATCTCTTAACAGATAATTAAAACAGATGAGAGAAGGGAGTCTCAAATCACTCTAGGTGTGGTCTGTCTCAGCAGAGAACAAGTCAACCTCACCTGTGAGGCATTTCTGAAAAGATAAATGAGAGAGAGAGAGGAGACTGTTTGCTAGATGAAAAGAAGTTAGTTAAGCAGGGAGGGAGAGAGAAGAAACTGTGGGAGGAAATAAAGTTAGTTAAGAAGAGTAGGTGAGAGAGGACACTGTTATAAGGAGAAATAAAGTTAGCTAGTAATAAACTGAAACCTGAGAAAACAGGATTCAAGGAAATCATATAGCCCAGACACTTGGCCCAGGAGAATAACCCATTCCCCTGATGAAGGGATATATAAGAAGGAAGCCAAATTGAACTTGGGGCTCCACCTTCTTTACTTTGGCAAGGTGGATGCCAATTCTTAATCTCTCTGTGTAAGGATGTTTATGATTATAATAAACCTATCTTTTAGATTCCCTAAGCCTCTTGTTTTCTAACTTCTTTTGCACGGAATAAGTGTGTTATGCCTTCCCAATTCTTTGAAGATAGCAACACCATTCCAGGGGTGTTTCTCAACTCTTGAAGTTGATTCCATTTTTCTCAGCAGTGAGCCCCCACCTGGCTGTGTGTTGGCAGCCTCTGCCCTCACAGCTGTAGATACAAACACACTTACTCAGGATGTAGCCAATTAGCCAGCCTGCCTTGCTGACCAACCCTTGGACCAGGCGGAAAGTTAGCATCCACGTGTAGCTTGGTGAGATGGACATGAGTACTCCAGACACAGAGTTTATGAGGATTGTAATCAAGAGACAGAGCTTCCGGCCAAACCTGCAGGTAGAAAACCAACAGAAACATGCAACAGAATCAATTCATGAAGGTTGTAGAAAATCCATGCAAATTATAAGCATCCAAAAGATAACAGAGGATAATTCGGAATTATGGAAAACCAGAAGAAATGGAATGATACTCCAAAAGAAAGCCCATAACTTTGGGGCACTTAGTTCAGGCCTTTTTATTAGTGTACTAAGTATAAATTTTAAGCACAGTGAGCCAAATTCACTCCAGGGCAAAAGTAACTCTTAAATCCCTCATCGTGGAGGGGATTTCTGAAGATGGGTGATTCTTGTAGGCCAGCCACTACTGAATGCCCTTGGGGCTGGCTAGGTCTTGCATCATCATATGAACTGAGGCTTTCATAATAATAGTCTCAACCAACTACTCACCCAAGAGAGATTTTGCTTTGGAACAAAATTAATTAATTGTTCAATATAATCCTCCACCCATTACCAACAATGCTTCTGGACTTGGTGAGATTTGTGTGTTTCCCTGGAAATGCTTTGGTGTCACGGTGTCACCACTTTCTATTTTGCCATCCTACATGTGTTTTAGTGGCTTCCTTGTTAGCATAGTGGTGAGTATCCCCACATGTCACATGGGAGACTGGGGTTTGACTCCCCAACAGGGAGGGCTACTGAACTTTCAGAGTCCTGGTGTGGTGCTGTGGGTTAATGTGCTGGACTGCAAGCTTGGCTTGCACTGCTAGGTTGGTGGTTCATGCTTACCAACTGCTCCTTGGAAACCCTCTACAGGGTTGCTATGGGTCAGAACCAACTCAACAGCACTTAACAAAAACAACAAACCACACACATCTTTTATGGAGTAGAATAGAAGGATTGTGTTACACATTGACTTGTGTCCCTCACAAATCCTAACTCCTGTACCTATGCATGTGCCCTTGCTGGGAACTAGGATCTTTCTTTGAAGATGTTTTCAATTAATGAGGTCCTACTGGATTCGAGAGGGTCCTAATTCCTCCCTTCTAAATAGTGTCTTATAAAAGGGGTGAACACCTAGCCAGAAAAAGAAATCATGGGTATATAGATTGTAAAAGAAGTAAAATTATCTCTCTTTGCAGATAACATGCTATTATATATAGAAAATCCCAAGGACTCCATAAAAAAATTTCTAGAGCTAGTAGAGAGATTTAGCAAAGTTTCAAGGTACAAAGTCACCAACCAAAATTCAACTGGCAAGGAAAGATCTGAAGGGGAAATTAGGAAAACAATTTTGTTTACTTTACCACTTAAGAGACTAAAATACCTAGGAATAAATTTAACCAGAGATGTGAAGGAGTTATACAATGAAAACTGTAAAACACTGCTGAAAGACACTGGTATTTTGTTGTTGCATCTGTAGAGTTGGTGCTGACTCATTTGTTGTTGTTGTTGTTAGGTGCCATCGATCTGTACCGACTCATAGCAACCTTATGCACAACAGAATGAAACACTGCCCGATCCTGGGCCAATCTCACAATTGTTGCTTCACCCCATTGATACTGCCACTTTGCCAATCCATCTCGCTGGGCGTCTTCCCCTTTTTCTCTGACCCTCCACCTTACCAAACATGACATCCTTCTCCAGTGACTGCTCCCTCCTGACAATATGTCCAAAGTATGAGAGACGAGCACTCTGGCTGCACTTCTTCCAAAATGGATCTATTGGTTCTTTTGGCAGCCCATGGCACTTTCAATATTCTCCTCCAACACCATAAGTCAAAAGTATCAATTCTTCTACGGTCTTCCTTATTCACTGTGCAGCTTTCACATGCATATAAGGCTATTGAAAATACCATGGCTTGGGTCAGGCACATCTTAGTCTTCATGCTGATGTCTTTGCTCATCAACACTTCAGAAATGTCTTGTGCAGCAGATTTGCCTCATAGTGACCCTTTATAGGCTCTCTAAGGAGTGTCTGAGGAGCTCTGGTAGCATAGTGGTTACGAATCGGGCTGTAAACCTCAGGGTCAGAAGTTTGAAACTACCAGCTGTTCTGCGGGAGAAAGATGAGGCTTTTTGCTCCCATAAAGATTTGCAGCCTTGGAAACCCTGTACAGGGTCGCTATGAGTCAAAACCAACTCCACGGCACGTAACAACAACAAGGAGTGGCTGGTGGATTTGAACCATTGACTTTGCAGTTAGAAGTCCAGTGCTTATCTACAATCCCACACCAGGACTTAAATAAATGGAAAATTGTTCCTTTTTCACGGATTAAAAGAATATTGTTAAGGTGACAATAGTATCCGAAGCAGTCTATATAGTCAGTACTATCCCAATAGAAATTTCAACTTTTCAACATTATATAGGATGATGAGAGCCCCTGAAGAACCAAAACAATGTTGGAAGACAAGAACAAAGCAGGAAAACTCATATTTTCTGACTTTAACAATAGTGTAGTGGTTACGAGTCGGGTTGAGAGCTGCAAGGTCAGCAGTTCGAAACTACCAGCTGCTCCACGAGAGAAATATGAGGCTTTCTGTTCCCGTAAAGATTTACAGTCTTGGAAACCCTACATAGGGTTGCTATGAGTCAGAACCGATTCCATGGCACATAACAACAACAACATTCAATTTAGAAACTAAAACACCCTAGTACTAGTACAGCAATAGATATATGTTGTTGTTCTTAAGTGCTGTCGAGTTGGTTCTGACTCTTGGTGACCCTATATAGAGTTTCTGAGGAGCAGCTAGTGGGTTTGAACTGCTGACCTTGTGCTTCAAAGTCCAGTGCTGATCCTACAGTGACACACCATGATTCCAACAGGTACATGGATCAATAGAATAGATATGACGGTCTAGAAATAAACATCCGCATCTTTGGTCAACTGATTTTTGACAAGAGTTCTAAGTCATCTGTCAGTTTGTCATACTGTGGTGGCTTGTGCATTGCTGTGATTCTGGGGACTATACCATTGGTATTCAAAATAACAGCAGAGTCACCTAAACTAAAGAAAAAATTCAACTTTTAATATTGAAAGATTCTGTGGGCAAGATATTGAATGATGTAGAAAGCATCAAAAGAATGTAGAAGGAATACAAGAGTTGTTGTACCAAAAATGAAATGGTCCATGTTCAACCATATCAAGAGGTAGCATATGATCAAGAGCCAATGGTAGCAAAGGAAGATCCAAGATGCATTCAAGGCATTGACAAAAAACAAGGTTCAAAGAATTGATGATATAAAAACAAATTGTGCTTTACTGACTACACAAAGGCTTTCGATTGTGTGGATCATGACAAGTCATGGGCAACATTTCAGAGAACGTGTAGTCTGTAAAATTAATTGTGCTCATGAGGGACCTGTACATAGACCAAGAGGCAGTTATTCAACCAGAACAAAGGGACACTGAATGGTTTAAAATCAGGAAGGGTGTACATTAGGGTAATATTCTTTCACCATATTTATTCAATCTGTATGCTGAGCAAATAATCTGAGAAACTGGATTATATTAAGAAGAGCTTGGCATCAGGATTGGAGGAAGATTCATTAACAACCTGTGGTATGCAAATGGTACAATCTTACTTGTTGAAAGTGAAGAAGACTTAAAATACTCACTGTTGAATATCAAAGACTTCAGTATTGGTTGCATCTCAATGTAAAGAAAATGAAATCCTCACCATTGGAGTAATAAATAACATCATGATAAATGGAGAAAAGACTAAAGTTGTCAAAGACTTTAATCTTGCTTGGATCCACTATCAACAGTCATGGAAGCAGTAGTCAAGAAATCAAATGATGGATTGCATTAGACAAATCTGCTGCACAAGTCCTCTTTAAAGTGTTCAAGAGCAAAGATGTCAATTTGAGGACTAAGTTGCACTGACCTGAGTCATGGTATTTTCAATAGCCTCATATGCATGTGAAAGTTGGGCAATGTACAAGGAAAACTGTAGAAGAATTGATGCATTTGATTTGTGGTGTTGGAGAAGAACAAGCAAATCTGTGTTGGAAGAAGTACAATCAGAATGTTTCTTTGAAGCTAGGATGATGAGACTTCATCTTTTATACTTTGGACATATATACAGGAGGGAACAGTTCCTGGAGAAGGACATCATGCTTGGTAAAGTGAAGTGTCAGTGAGAAAGAGGAATACTCCCAACCTGATGGATTGGCACAGTAGCAGCAGTAATATGCTCAAGTGTAACGATGATTGTGAGGTTGATATAAGACTGGGCACTGTTTTGTTGTGCATGAGGTCACTATGCATTGGAACTGACTCAATGACACCTAACAAAAATGACAAAGTGTCACCCATGGTGGATAGATTTCAGTGCATCTTCCAGACTAAGATAGACTAGGAAGAAGGAGAGGTGGAACAATTCTGAATAGTAACCTATTAAAAATCTTATAAATAGCAGTGAAACACTGTATGATGTAGTGCTGGAAGATGAGGCCCTCAGGTGGAAATCTTTAAAATATGACTGGAGAAGAGCTACCTTCTCAAAGTAGAGTTGACCATTAGAAAGGAAGAAATTGACCAGGTTATCAGAAAACTCCCAAACAAAAAATGTCCAGGTCCCGATGGTTTCACAGGTGAGTTTTACCAAATATTCAGGGAAGCATTGTCACATAGAAAAGGATGGAAAACGTATTAATGCATGCTATGAAGCAAGCATAACACTCATACCAAAACCAGGAAAGGACATCACTAAGAAAGAAAATTATAGACAAATATCCCTCATGAACACAAATGCAAAAATTCTCAACAAAATCCTAGCCAACAGAATTCAACAATACATAAAAAAAATAAATAAATAAATAAATAAAACATCATGCCCAAGTGGGATTCATATCAGGGATGCAAGAGTGGTTCAACATTAGAAAAACAATCAATGTAATCCACCATATAAATACAAAAAAGGAAAAGAACCACATGATCATATTGACTGATGCAGAAGAAGCATTTGACAAAATCCAACATCCACACCTGATTAAAAAAGCACTCAACAAAGTAAGAATTGAAGGGAAATTTCTCAACATAATTAAAAGCAT